GGCCATTCCTGCAGTCAGCATGCCAATTGCACGCTCCCTCAAAACTTGAGACATCTGTAGCATTGTGTTGTGTGGCCTTTTATTGTCCCCAGCACAAGGTGCACCTGTGTAATGATCATGCTGTTTAATCAGCTTCTTGATATGCCACACCTGTCAGGTGGATTAATTATCTTGGGAAAGGAGATATGCTCACTAACAGGGATGTAAACACATTTGTGCACAACATTTGAGAGAAATAAGCTTTTTGTTCGTTTGGAAAATCTCTGGGATCAAAGGTTAGATTAGAAAGTGTTATCCCAAACACTCATATTTACGAATCTTATGATTGGCTGCATTGAGGCAAAACCCCTGGGCACAGGTGTCATTTCAATGTCCCGTTTTGATTTACATTTGGTTGAGTTGTCAACTAACGTGAGTTTAACGTGAAATCAACATTAAATGTCACCATGTCATTAGATTAAGGTTAAAAGACGAAATTCCCTTACATTGATGAGTTTTTACAAATCCAATCAGTTTTCCACTTTGATTCAACGTCATCACGCTGAATTATTTTTGATTAAATGACGTAGAAACAATGTTGATTCAACTGGTTTTTGACCAGTGGGAATGAACATATCAGCACTACCGTCTGTAAGTCTAGGAGTGGTAAATGTATACGCCAACATCTTACCTCCACATACTTATGAGCTTGGTCATATTTAGAACCAAGAAACCATTCGACACCCCTGCTGACGCAAGGAGGGCTGCTGTAGTATCCATGATGTGTTGCCTGTCCGCTAGGCTACTGACTGCTGTGGTGTCCATGATGTGTTGCCTGTCCGCTAGGCTACTGACTGCTGTGGTGTCCATGATGTGTTGCCTGTCCGCTAGGCTACTGACTGCTGTGGTGTCCATGATGTGTTGCCAGTCCGCTAGGCTACTGACTGCTGTGGTGTCCATGATGTGTTGCCTGTCCGCTAGGCTACTGACTGCTGTGGTGTCCATGAGGTGTTGCCTGTCCGCTAGGCTACTGACTGCTGTGGTGTCCATGATGTGTTGCCTGTCCGCTAGGCTACTGACTGCTGTGGTGTCCATGATGTGTTGCCTGTCCGCTAGGCTACTGACTGCTGTGGTGTCCATGATGTGTTGCCTGTCCGCTAGGCTACTGACTGCTGTGGTGTCCATGATGTGTTGCCTGTCCGCTAGGCTACTGACTGCTGTGGTATCCATGATGAGTTGCTAGGCTACTGACTGCCCTAGTATCCATGATGTGTTGCTAGGCTACTGACCGCCCTAGTATCCATGATGAGTTACTAGGTTACTGACTGCTCTGGTATCCATGATGTGTTGCTAGGCTACTGACTGCCCTAGTATCCATGATGTGTTGCTAGGCTACTGACTGCCCTAGTATCCATGATGTGTCGCCTGTACGCTAGGCTACTAACTGCCCTAGTATCCATGATGTGTTGCCTGTACGCTAGGCTACTAACTGCCCTAGTATCCATGATGTGTTGCTAGGCTACAGACTGCCCTTGTATCCATGATGTGTTGCCTGTACGCTAGGCTACTAACTGCCCTAGTATCCATGATGTGTTGCCTGTCCGCTAGGCTACTAACTGCTGTGGTGTCCATGATGTGTTGCTAGCAGACCTGGGTTTAAACACTATTTGAAATCGTTCAAATACTTTTATTGTTTGCTTTAGCCTGCCTTCAATGCCAGATAGGTGAGGTTTGTATTGTGCCAGGCAAGCTCATTTAAGCCCAGCTACAGTCCTTTAAATTATTTCAAATACTATTTAAACCCAGGTCTGGTTTCTTGTCCACTAGCTACCAGTCAGTAAGTGCTAAAACCTGTTTGAGAGCCTTGTCACTGCATGGGGATTGGTTAGCAAACTGTTTCAACAGGCAACAAAGTTGTCTTCAGGTTTAGTCAAGGTTTCTAACACAATAAACGTATTACATTTTTAGGTCTTAAGAAGCAAGCCTGTGGTCATTTAAGTAAGCAAGACTTGGTTGTTTTAGTTCATTGATGAGCTGTTTTACAGCAGTACTACTTCTACAGTAAACTATGGCGTGACGTTACTAGTCTACCGTGTCAGACAGAGTGTAGACTATTTAGCAGAGAAAATATCCTTTGGCTGTGGCTGACTGTGACTGGGCAGGAAAGTTGATGGAAGACGGGAGAGCAACAGCAATCAGCTGTTGCCTGCATTCCCTTGTGATTGTGATACAGCAACAGTATGTGCCTGCCCTTATTTAGTCAGCCAGTCAGGGCTCCGGTTCGTACTGAGTACTGACACTAGGCCTCTCTCTCTCTCTGTGCGTCATTTACACCCAGACAGTCCCAGACAGCCGTGGCCTCTTCTGCCTTCAGATACTCTGAAGAGACTCAGCCCACATCAGACACACACACACACACACACACACACACACGCACACACACACACACAAGACCAGGGATAACTCAAAATATTAACTGAAAGTCAGGGCAGGGAGGCATTGGGGGCAGAGAGGGAGCATTAGCTAACCTAACCTGAGGGCAGCTGGGTGTCTCAATAAACCAACCTCGTCTCAGAGCATTTCATATTATTCTGTGCGTAAATCCCAGACACCCATTTAGTATATGTTACATTTCGTATGGTACGTATTAATTTGTGGATGTCCATCATCCATTTCGTATGATATGTTACGGATTGAAATTTGTACAATATGTTATGAATTGCAATTTGTTCTATATGTTATGAATTGCAATTCGTACAATATGTTACGAATTTGAAAAACGTACAATATGTTACAAATTTGCACAACATATGTATGATATGTTACGAATTCCAATTTGTTTTGGCTAATGTTAGCTAGGTGGCTAATGCTAACATTAGCTTGCTGGCTAACATTAGCAAGGTTAGGGTTAAGGTTAGGGTTAATGTTAGGAGTTAGGTTAAAGGGTTACAGTTAGGGTTAGGGGAAGGGTTAGCTAAAAGGGTTAAGGTTAGGATTAGGGTTAGCTAACATGGTAAGTAGTTGCAACATAGCTAAAAAGTAGTAAGTAGTTGAAAAGTTGCTAATAAGCTAAAATACTAAAGTTGTCCGTTTTTGCCTTAAGTAACCTTCTGTCTTATGTAACCATACCAAACGTAACATATCTTACTAATTTGAGTGTCCGGATTTACATTTACTATGTTACGTCTACTCTATGAGACCAGGTTTAATAAACAGGTTGTATTTATAAACCCCTGACTTAATCACAATGTCTGCTGGTTGTTTGGCCCTGGCACCTTGGCTGTTGCCTGAGCAGTGGACAGGGAGCACTGCTGCTCTGCTGTCAGGGACATGGTTCACATCATGCAAAAGGATACCATCCTGGCTAGCTGCCCTGCCCTGTCCTCCACCCCACAACAACAGAGCAGAGGGCTTCAATGGAAAACTCCTCTGGATATACGGGTGATTCAATCACTTCCCGGTTGTGTGTACTTTTCTATTTCTCTAATAAAAGTGACAATCTTCTCATGACTGTTTACAGAGTAGCAATATGATTAACTAGCTAAAAATATTTTGCATCAATATTGCATTACTGGCTGTTGGAGGTTCCAGATACCACTAAAATGAGCTGGATGTATGGGACAATCAGATTTGACCTCATCCATTGATGAAAAAGTCAAGAGACCAGACAGGTTATAACCACTGTGGTGTCCTTAATCCACTAAGTGTCGGTTTTCACAGTATGTCCTCAAAAGGCTTCTGGTTGTTTCAGATGTCTATTCATGGAGTCTTCGGGACTAGGCCTGTCTGTAGAAGATGTATCTGAACCTTAAAACAATACAAAACACGTTTGTCCCATAATTCTTGTAATACGGCTTGTCTCTATGGTAAAATATTTAGATTTCCATCTGCCTAGGAGTCAGCACAGGATCTGCAGTTCATCAGCCAGAGCCTAAGTATGTGTCTCAAATGGCAACCTATTCCCGATATAGTGCACTACTTTTGACCAGAGCCCTATGGGCCCTGGTCAAAAGTAGTGCACTATAAAGGCAATAGGGTGCCATTTGGGATGTAGACCTACTGTTGTAAACACAGGGCTTATTTCAGGTGCTGCTGTGGCTTACAGTAGATCTAAAAGCTGCTGCCTTCTATGGTGAGGCACGAAAGAAACCTCTGTCATCTTGAAAGTCAGTGACTGGGTTTCTCTGTGTCGGTAGCCTAAGCATGTAAGGACAAATTAGGTCTAGGCGGCCTACAGTAAACAAAGAACAAAATCATATTCTGATATGCTTGGTCAGATATCAAAACTTAATTGTAAAGAGATGCCTCAGAGATTTCCTTCCCTATCAGCTTAAACAAATAGGGGAGTCTCAACCAACACCCTCTCTCAAAAGTGTACTGTATCGATCTAAATTGAAGTGCACTGCAGATAAGTTCCCTTACTGCCAAGTAGTGGTGGCTCATAGTGGAAGGCAATAGAATATAAAATATATACTTTTATTGTCAATTTTATGACGGAAAACGATTGATTTCCTGTCACAATACCTAACGTCACACACGATGCAAACGACAGAGGTAAGAGGGATGTCAGGGAATTAAACATACTTTTTAGAGAAAGGCCCACGTCACCATTACACCAAGGTCCTTGATATTCGGGATCCTTGGTACATCCCCACCCTAAACCCTAACCTTAACCCTTACCCTAACCATAACCCTTACCTAACCATTTTAAATGTCAACTTCAATGGGGTAGGGACGTCCCAAAGATCCCAAATAGCAGGGACATTGGTGTAATGGTGACGTGGGCCTTTCTCTAAAAAGTCTGTTTGATTCCCTGACATTCCCCTTACCTTGCCAAGGGGGCTGCACAATAAACTGAAACCATTTCATTGCTTCCCCTGTGGAATTTGACAGTCATTTCTGTGTGACATGGCTGACTTTGACCCATACACTGCAGGAAGAGAATGGCCTTCATGGTCATTGTTTGAGGCACCGTGCTGTCAACAAACAGTGGTGCCAATGTATCAATGAACAGCCTTCTACTACAACTGTTGCCCACTGTATAGCACACAAGAAAAGCAGGAAAAATAGCTGCAGAAGAATTTCAAACAAGACTAGATCAGACAGGGTGGCACGCAGACATTGTCCTTTTCTCTCCAGTCTGTTACAAGCTGTATATAATGACTCCACACAGAAGAAGGAACCTTTTCCTCTCTGTCCTCTTTGGCTCCTATTGTGACCGCAGCCAGAGAAGTCACGGGAGCAACACCTGCAACTGCTGATTCTGATCTAACTCAATGGCGTCTTTATTTTCCATCATCAACCTCTTTTTACCATTCAGTGCCATACAGTAGCCCTCTTGTCCATGTACTGCTATGCAGAGGTAGGCATCCGTGTCTAAAACATTGAACATTGACATTGAAGCAGACCCTTGCTCTTGTGGGTGCATTTATTGGTGAATTGTTAAAGAGAATAGTGGAAGGAGAGGCACAGGGGAAGTTGTTATAGAGAACAAATGTGGTGTACTTGAAGGATTTAAAAATGTTTTTTGAAAGTAGGTAAGTGATAGTTTATACATAGACAGTAAATAGGTTGAAATAGTGTGATTGTTATTTTGGTGCTACTAAAGTGTTACTGAAAATGTGTCTGATCATGATCACCTAGTCTATCCCAGTGATGAATATGTATGTGTATGGTCTATTCCATACCTGGAGGCAGCGATCTCTGCTTTCTGTTTGGCGATGGCCGCCGCCCGCTGAGCTCCCTCCACACTGCGCTCCACCTTCTGCCTGATCTTGGTGCCCTTCAGTTGGATAACCCTCTTCTTCATGGCCTTCACCAGCATGTTGTTCATATACTTTCCTTCCTCCTTCCCTCCTTCCGCAAAGGTGGTGCATCCATAGCCGTGTCGCTGGTTGTCTAGCCATTCACCTTCATACTTTAGCCCACTGGAACGTTCGCTTATTCCATAGCCTGAACGCTTGTCGTTCTTCCACTCCCCCATGTAAACCTCTGTGGTGGTGGCGTCGATGTCGGCCTCCACAGGGGGGAAATCCTCTGCCCCGGCCAGGCTCTCGTCTCCCAGACTGATGGTGGAGTTGGCATCGCTGGCCACATCGCTGGCCGCCGAACTCAACGCTGACTCGCTCCTCGCTCCCAGGAAGCTTAGCTTGCTCCTCACACTGGATAAGGAAGTACGGGAGTCAGACTTCTTCAGTTTCCCCAGGAGAGACCCCCTTCGGAACAGGCCCTTCTTCTTGGGCTTGACAGCGTCTGGGTCCACCTGGAGCGTGAGGGCGAAGCCGCCCCGGGAGGGTCCCAGCTGGGTGGGTGTGGAGACTCGGGCCTCCTGGCCGGCGGCGTTGGTGGCGATGATGACGGGGACGTCCTGCTGAAGCAGGGTGCCATTACTTTGCTCGCTGCGGAGGGAGGTGAGGGAGGTGCGGAGAGGGGAGCGAACGACCGCCGCCATGCCGTAAGGCACGCTCTGACGTACTCCGTACCCGTGTCGCATGCCGCCAGTAAACTGGCCCTGAAATGTGCCTGGAAAGACAAGAGAGGGAATTGATAGATATGTTAGCATCTGGAGAAATAGGCAATAAGCTTCACCGGCCTCTGATTTGATTGAAAATGTTTGGGCTGGCTCTTTAACTCACACCAAATGATCACTCTTATATAATTGCAAGCACTTCAACAGTGAGACAAGATGAGTGGTTTTGTTTTGAAAGTAGAATAAAGTAACCAGAACTTGGCACAGTCAGCCTATATGGTTTGATACAGTAGGTATCATACACTGAACTAAAATATAAACACAACATGTAAAGTGTTGGTCCCATGTTTCATGAGCTGAAATAAAAATCCCAGAAATGTTCCATATGCACAAAAAGCTTATTTCTCTCAAATTTTGTGCACACATTTGTTTCCATCCCTGTCAGTGAGCATTTCTCCTTTGCCAAGATAATCCACCCACCTGACAGGTGTGGCATATCAAGAAGCTGAATAAACAGAATGATCATTACACAGGTGCACATTGTGCTGGGGACAATAAAAGGCCACTCTAAAATGTGCAGTTTTGTCACACAACACAATGCCACAGATGTCTCAAGTTTTGAGGGAGCGTGCAATTGGCATGCTGACTGCAGGAATGTCCACCAGAGCTGTTGCCAGACAATTGAATGTTCATTTCTACCAAAAGCCGCCTCCAACATTGTTTTAGAGAATTTGGCAGTACCTCCAAGTGGCCTCACAACCGCAGACCACGTGTGGGCGAGCGGCTTGCTGATGTCAACGTTGTGAACAAAGTGCCCCATGGTGTCGGTGGGGTTATGGTATGGGCAGGCATTAGCTACAGACAATGAACACAACTGCATTTTATCTATGGCAATTTGAATGCACAGTGATACCGTGATGAGATCCTGAGGCCCATTGTCGTGCCATTCATCTGCCGCCATCACCTCATGTTTTATCAAGATAATGCACGGCCCCATGTCACAAGGATCTGTACACAATTCCTGGAAGCTGAAAATGTCCCAGTTCTTCTATGGACTGCATACTCACCAGACATAACACACATTGAGCTTGTTTGGAATGCTCTGGATCAACATGTATGACAGCCTGTTCCAGTTCCCGCCAATATCCAGCAACTTCGCACAGCCATTGAAGAGGAGTGGGACACAGGCCACAGGCCACAGACCACAAGCAACAGACTGATGAACTCTATGCGAAGGAGATGTGTCGCGCTGCATGAGGCAAATGGTGGTCACACTGGATACTGACTGGTTTTCTGATCCACGCCCTTACCTTTTTTTAAAGGTATCTGTGACCAACAAATCCATAGATTAGGGCCTAATGAATTTATTTCAATTGACTGATTTCCTTTTATGAACTGTAACTCAGCAAAATCTTTGAAATTGTTGCATGTTGCGTTTATATTTTTGTTCAGTATAGTTGGAAAGACTGTAGTTCAACTAAAGTTATTAATGTGACCCAAACTAATCATGGGTCTCTCATGCAAAATCAGACACTTGTCTGGATGCCATTGGCTGTAGCTGGACCGTCAGGCCAAGAGGACACAGCAGTCTGCTGGGCTATTATTACTTCCTGACACATGGTGTCAGAACCTCCCTATCAACCACTCAAAAGGGCCCAAATCTGATGAGTCAGCTACTGAGGGCACCAGGGTCTTTAAACAGACAGCACTGCCACCGATATTATTGGTGTGATCTCTCAGCAGGTTCAAGTGTACAGTGACAGTATGAGAAAATATAGCTTGGTCCTAGATCTCTACTGTATGTATGTTTGCCAACTCCTCTGACTATTCATTCATTCAACAGTAGAGCAATCAGTGTTTCTCCTCCTGTTCCTTTCATTTCTCTCACCGGTTCTTTGGGGCCCCATAAAATGTCTCAGAGTAGGAGTGCTGATCCAGGATCAGTTTTTCCTTTTAGATCATTACATGGACAGCGGGGGACCTGATCCTAGATCAGCACTTTTACTCTAGGCCCATGACATCTTGTGTGTGTGCGTGTGAGTGTGTGTTTGCGCGCGCGTTCATTCGTTCGTGTGACAGCAATTAAAACAATATCTTCCACGTAAAAACACAGCTTAACATTCCACATCATAGCACACACTTTCGTATTGACACACACCGCTAATGTGCCATCCACTGCCACTATCGTTTGGCAAGAGGTCCTTAGGAATGGGCAAGATCCTAATGGACCATCCGCAGCAACACTTGGGTTCCTCTCCTTGTTTCACTGCTGCAAGCTTGAGTCACTCATTCGCTCATAAAACACCCAAATGGAACATTAGTATTGTACTGTAGTGTATAGCCCATTGTGCTTTGTAGATAATCCTCTCATATCCCTGCTCTTATATTCTCAGATGCATCTGGATATATCAGCATAAACCAAAAATGCATACCTGTCCTATGTAATTAATTACCTCTACCCTTTACCTTCTTCAAATGTTAAATGTCAGGTAAGACAGATGTCAATGATGCTAATGGATGTGCAAAGATGTCATAACAGTGTTATTACATATTACAAATGCAAGATTCCCATGATGTGTATAGGAAGTACATGATTAAGTGAGGCTGAACAAGCCCTGGCTCCACCAGATTCAGGACAACATATACATAAAGGAATAAAAAACATACCACCATCAGCATAGGTCTCTGTGCCATATCCATCTTGCAATCCATTATTCCACGTTCCTTCATACTTTGCCCCACTACCAACACTCAGCCTCAAGCCATATCTCCCCTTGAAGCCATGAGTCCATTCTCCCTTGTAAACCCAATGTCCTTTAGTCTCAACTCCTAGACCATGGCGCTTCCCTTGCGACCAGAAGCCTTCATAGGCGTTTCCGCTGGGCCAGGTGTAGACTCCAACCACCTCAAACCCGTAATTCCAGGACCCGGAGAACTCGCCCTGTCCTTTAGGTCCGGTGCAGATCCCATGCCCATGGGCTTTGCCACCTTCCCAGCCACCACAATAAGCTCCACCATCATCAAATTCAAAACGACCTCCACTCATACCTTCCCTTCTGTGACTGCAGACAAAAAATATAGTTTTAAAGGCAGAGTCAAATCAATGACTTAAAAAAAATCTTGGTCAAGATAAAATATCAGAATGGATCCGCCTTCACCTGTCATCAAAAACGATTTAGGAGATCCTTGGCACTGTGCTTAGAATCTGTTCTTTGTATTTTTCTTGAATATTTTTGGGGTCTTTTCCATGTAGCCTTGCACTCTATAGACACGTCAAATCAATTTGTTTCAGGCGCGCATTTTAGCCTACTTTATGATCTCTCATTCCCTTGGATTACTTCAGTACTCTTCTTCTGTTGATCGGTGTTCGATTTCAGAGTCATGAACTTCAGTCTGTGCTGACTTAGTAAGATTTGTTACGGTTGTTTTTGCCCCCAGAGGTAAAACTAATATGCGATTATTTAGTTGAACTGTTTTTTGGATGTCTTCTTTTTTTCTGGTTGAGCCAGGGATCTTTCCAAGGTGGCCATAGAAAAGCCCCTTTCCCCTGTCCATGCCTCCCGTCACTGGCGCTGCTATCACCAAACAGTTGGTGCTGTCGGAAATGTTTTAGCAGACCTAACAAGGCGACCAGATCCACACACACACTGTTCCAAAAATACAACCCAATCCTTACTCTGCTGCGAGGAGTCATGCCAGATCACTTGCCACTTCGGGGTTGGTCGTGCATATGGTCTATCTACAGTCACAGACTCTAGTCTAGTGCATTTAAAATAGGCCCCAATCTTCTACTTAACGCGTCAACCAATTGTGCACCATCAACAACGTGTGGTGAAAGTAAAATGTCAAAATATTTAAAATTTGGCTATATAGCTTAGTAATTGCTAAATAGTAGGTAGCACTGCTAGAATACGCTAAGTATTTCCTTTACTGGGACCAATAGACAACGAATTGGATGGGAAATAAGTAAGCTATAAATAATCAACCAAATTGCACTAAAACTAAGCTGCAACCACACTCGTATTCCTTATTCATTTGACCCATCTTAAAACTTGAATTTCTGCCATTTACAGTAGCCGAATTTCTCTTGAAACATTTCATATTCTGCACACCCCTTCGTTCATTACGCACTTGATTTGCGCACTTAGCTTTACGCCGCCTTGCGGCTTGCTTGGGATATCTTTGGGCACTATGGTACAGCGACTCGGATCCTGATTGCTCAGCCCAAACATGTTATGTCGCCCCCTCTACTGTCACGGATCAATCATTGCAATATTTGCTGTTCTAAAACACACACAGAAAACATAACAATTGATTTATACATGCGCATTCATTCTGGGGTTTTGTGTATGTGGAATTAACACATGAATTGCAAGAAATTCAATGGAGCTATATGGGCTATCATCTGTGCGACTGGGATGTATCGTATTTTCACATAAACACATTTTCCTTTGGGTGCGTTTTAATACAACTATCAACGTCGGACACTATTATTTATTTGTTCAAAAATATTTTGAAAAACAAAGGTCTTTCATTAACAGCTCTCCGACACCCTGTTCTCATAGAGAGCACTTTGACCTTCTTGTCAAATGCTCCCTCCTCCCATCACTGGCAAGGGGGTTCCACAGCGCATGTTTGTGCCTGTGTGATGTAGGCTACACATTGATTTAATCGTAAACGTATTTACATGTTTGAGTTAAGGGTAAGCGTTCTATGGATTACGCGGTAAAATTTTTGCAAGCGACCTTTATCGAAAGAGATCTAGATTTCAGCACGGGCACTGTCCGAAACTGATTCTGCCACGTCGCGTTGAATCGATGATGCTCAGTTCGTGGTGCTGAAATCCTTTGCGCTTTCGGTCTTTTCCTTTCCTGTCTGTCCCTCCCTCCCTCCCTCCATCCATCCATCCATCTCTCCTCTCTCCCTCCCTTGGTTCTCTCTCATACGCACAAAACCCTCTGTCATGGCGTCTTCCAACAATGTTACCCCCACCAACTGTAGCTGGTGGCCCATCTCAGCCATGGATGAAGACGGCGAAATTACAGACGGGGAGAAAAGCGAAGAGCCAGCTATAGAGTCGAAACCTAATTTCTCTAAAGACAAGCTTGTTTTGTATCACTGGACGCAGTCTTTCATCTCTCAAAAGGTAACACACAGACAGCATGCAAACGAAATGGAGGTGTACCCGGTCTCTCTCTTACATGTCATATCTGCTATAGGAGCTCAATGTGTTATTCTATAAGAATTATTTGAAATATAATGTTATAGGCCTACACGTTTGTGTTAGAAATTATTTAATTCTGGCAATATTTCCCATATGAGACGTTATGAATCGTCTGCAGCATGTGTGGACATTTTCCTTGACATTGGTTTATACGAGTTAGATAGGCTATAGCTGGATTGGTGATCAATATTATGTAACAATGGATGATTCGGCGAGAAAAAGATGGTGTCTAATTCTATTAAGACGTCTGTTTTGACAGTTTTCCCCTCATGGATGAGAAATCAGGCTACACCTCATATGTGGTCCGACGTGACAAATCTAAATAATTGATGTAAAATGAGGTATCTCTGTGAAAAGGCAACATTTCAACCCTCCCTGTGTCTTTCTCTCAATGCAGCGCTTTTAAGTTATTCTGAAATATATTAATAGACTTGGCCATTTTTATTCAAATAGTATGTAGAACCCACATGAGTATTTATGATACAGAGATCTTTCCCTTCAGATGTGTAGAGCATGATCTTCTTCATGTTGTCTGCAGACCACCATAGCGCAATGCCTTGACATCTCGGCGTTTTGAGTTAGTGCCACTTAAACCATACAGCCTTGGAGCGTCTGTGAGAGATCTTGCATTATAACAGCTTACATTCTCCTGTCATTATTATTAACAGCTCTCCAGATTAGGAGTTAACTGTAAACCTAACCAACAGGCAGATGACAAAGTCTGAGGTTATTGCATCTAAAATTTGATCTTATTCTATCCTCTTTGCATGCACTTTTCTATTTTTTCAATGTATATGTAATAGATAGGCCTACAGTATAGATAGGTATACAGTATGTTCTGATACTTGGGCTTAACGCTTACATTTCAAGCACTGAAAGACATGGAAATTGGCAATGAAAGGTGTAGACCGAATCTATATTACGCATTTTGAATGTAGAGACAGAATTCTTTACCTTTCCCTACATGCAGATATAGTGAAACCAGGATCGACACCTAGCATCAATATGACATAATATGGTAAATTACTAATCATTGTGAAATATCATGCAATGCAGACAACATGTTGCTCTGCACCTGATTAGACATCCACTCTTCACAGCTGTTGGACTGTGCTCAGCTAGCTTTGCTCCACGCCCCATGTGGCAAAGATGTGGGATTTAGTCTGTCAACCATTAGGATATTGGCTACGAGCCTCTCTGGAAGCTACTGCTGATTTACATTTACATTTGATCTGTGCCTGTTGTCACTCAACAGTACCAGTAAAATATCAGGCTCATTATCGTGGTTCCACTCAATACAGGATTTAGAGAGGTTGCATTCCTTTAGGTTAAACAATGCGACGCCTTAATACAGTAGCCTAAAACTGTCATTAAGCAAAGTCTACTCTGTCTTCTCATTGAGGTTGGTTTTAATGATGGTTATGGATATTCATGTTGAGATAATGAACAAGGAATGTTAGGATCACCTGGTTCCTCTGTCCTCTCAGCAGCTGTATATGTGGCCTACAGGCAAATACAGTATATTTTATGCATACACTCTTAGAAAAAAGGGTTACAAAAGGTTTCTTCTGCTGTCCCCATAGGATAACCCTTTTTGGTTCCAGGTAGAACCCTTTGGGGTTATATGTAGAACCCTTTCCACAGAGGATTCTACATGGAAATGTCTGCCCTTCTAGAGCTGCCCCAGTCAACTGTAAGTGCTGTTATTGTGAAGTGAAAGTGTCTAGCAGCAACAACGGCTCAGCCGCTAAGCGGTAGGCCACACAAGCTCAGAGAATGGGATCGCCGAGTGCTGAAGCGCATAGCGCGTAAATATCGTCTGTCCTCGGTTGCAACACTCACTACCGAGTTCCAAACTGCCTCTGGAAGCAACGTCAGCACATTAACTGTTCGTCGGGAGCTTTATGAAATAGGTTTCCATGGACGAGCAGCCTCACACAAGCCTAAGATCACCATGCGCAATGCCAAGTGTCGGTTGGAGTGGTGTAAAGCTCGCCGCCATTGGCTCTGGAGCAGTGGAAACGCATTCTCTGGAGTGATGAATCACGCTTCACCATCTGGCAGTCCAACGGTCGAATCTGGGTTTGGCGGATGCCAGGAGAACGCTACCTGCCCCAATGCATAGTACCAACTGTAAAGTTTGATGGAGGAGGAATAATGGTCTGGGGCTGTTTTTCATGGTTCGGGCTAGGCCCCTTAGTTCCAGTGAAGGGAAATCTTAACACTACAGCATACAATGACATTTGAGACGATTCTGTGCTTCCAACTTTGTGGCAACAGTTTGGGGAAGGCCCTTTTCAGCATGACAATGCCCCTTGCAGAAAGCGAGGTCCATACAGAAATGGGTTTTTCGAGATCAGTGTGGAAGAACATGACTGGCCTGCACAGAGCCCTGACCTCAACCCCATTGAACACCTTTGGGATGAATTGGAACGCAGACTGCGAGCCAGGCCTAATCGCCCAACATCAGCGCCCGACCTCACTAATGCTCTTGTGGCTGAACGGAAGCAAGTCCCTGCAGCAATGTTCCAACATCAAGTGGAAAGCCTTCCCAGAAGAGTGGAGGCTGTTATAGCAGCAAAGGGGGGACCAACTCCATATTAATGCCCATGATTTTGGAATGAGATGTTCGACGAGCAGGTGTCCACATACTTTTGGTCATGTAGTGCATGTCCCTGCACAATTCACATGATCCATATATGGATTTTTATCAAACTAAGGAGGACTAATGCGGATGTCCAACATGCTGCAAATATAGATGAGACAGACAGAAAATGGCTGTGTCATTGCACTACCCTGTACAAACATGTTTTTCTTGCTGTCTTTAGAAAAGCATCAAGATATCTAAACTACGTCTGAATAGTTATTTTGATCACTGATCCATCTGTCATACAGTTAATGATGGATTGTGCACACGAGGAATGATATACTGTTGTGGGAGTTTGATAACTTAATGTAACAGCATATTTGGAAGTCATTGAAGATTGATACTCCGCTGTCTGTCATTCTAAACTGCTACAGCAGGTTGGAGATTTACACCTTCGTTCACGACAGTATTACCCAGAGCCTGTAGGTCTCAACACTCAGGTGTCAGTGGGTCAAGCTCAGGTGTCAGTGAGTCAAACTCAGGTGTCAGTGAGTCAAACTCAGATGTCAGTGAGTCCAACTCAGGTGTCAGTGATTCCAACTCAGGTGTCAGTGAGTCCAACTCAGGTGTCAGTGAGTCAAACCCAGGTGTCAGTGAGTCAAACCCAGGTGTCAGTGAGTCCAACTCAGGTGTCAGTGATTCCAACGTAGGAGTCAGTGAGTCCAACCCAGGTGTCAGTGAGTCCAACCCAGGTGTCAGTGAGTCCAACTCAGGTGTCAGTGAGTCCAACTCAGATGTCAGTGAGTCAAACCCAGGTGTCAGTAGTTCCCTGAGTCAGATATAGAGATCTCTATAACTATCTGTGACTCTGGTGGTTCCAACTAAGATGTCAGAGGTTGTCAGTGGATCCTTGCCAGTTTATGTCAGTTTATGATGAGGAGTTAATGTTAGGGTGCCATTAATTGTCTGGTTAGCAGTGTTAGATTGGTACAATTGCTGCAACCTGAGATTATGTCATTGATTAAGACATAAATATTTTTCATTGTTGAATCACTTGGTCTGGTTGATTGTATGCCCTAATCATTCTCTACAGTCATCTACTCCAGTCACTGTTTAAGTTTAGGTTTCATGCTAATACATAAATAATCAGTGATGGGAATTGTTGCAGTATTCTTGGTAAAATAATAATTCTACAGTAAAATGAGCGAGCTACAAGGTCTTCCTGTTCTGTCTTGCGCACCAGACTTCCTCCCTCTGTGCACAATAGCAAGGTTATCCTGTACTAGACAGGAGTGGTAAAAATTCCTACACTAACTGTTTACGCAGTCGGTGCACTCACACTTTGTGATGTTTTGTTACAAGTTGTCTGGCCATTTGTCTGGCCCTTTACAACAAAACTCCCATGTTTCTCGCTCCATAGCTCCCTCACCTCCATAGTGTGATCTACTGTACACAGTGCTTGACTTTGACTGAAATAGATGCCAGCACTCAATTTGGGTGCCGGTACTGTTTAGATTTAGGTGCAGGCACTCCACAATACTTTTGAGCTAATATTCTATGAGAGGAACAGGAACTCAAACTGTAGAAAATGTGTGGTGCCGATACTCAGCTCCGGTGAGCTCCTGCCCAAGTCAAGCACTGACTGTACATTCATTAATCTTATTTCTGCAAATAACCCTCCATGGATCTCCATGGAACTTGGCATGGCTTTTAATAGACACTGAAAATGGATACTGTCTGCCTCACAGAAGCCATTTTTGGTTCATATTGAGCTCAACAAAACATAATTTTGCATGACTATTACTTTTTCTAAGGCCTTTTAATGGCCTGTTTTATGCCTGTCTGTGCTTGTGTGCCCAGGGTTCCCTGCTCTAGGGTGTGCTGTTGGTTAGAAATAGAGATATCATTGTTTTCTTTTTAAATTGTTCTTCAACAAAACATTGTAGCCTACAAGTAGCAGCAATAAGCCAAAGTGCGAAAAGCAAAATACAATTTGCTTTTGAATATTAACCCTTGTAGACCTGAAGGGGTTTCTCTATCAGAATAACTTCTCTAGCACATATATTTGTTCTAAGATTGTAATAACATAGACCATTAGAGTACTGATTGCACTAAAACACAAAAACACATATAAACAAGAGTCAAGCTATGAGACGAATATGTAACTTGTGTCTCTGTTCCCTGTGTTTCTCTGCGTTTTTCTTCCTCAAGGTGCGTCTGGTGATCAATGAGAAGGGTCTGCTGTGTGAAGAGAGGGACGTGAGTCTCCCTATAGCAGAGCACAAGGAGCCCTGGTTCATGAGGCTCAACCTGGGGGAGGAGGTGCCTGTCTTCATCCACGGAGACACCATCGTCTCAGACTACAACCAGATCATAGAGTACCTAGAGGCTAACTTTGGGGGAGGTATTGACTTTTAGACTACTTGATTTCTTTCCATTATGTTAGTGACTGCACATGCTCTTTTTAAGGTTAATTTAGGAGAGGTATTGCCTTTCAGACTACTCATCTCTTTTCATCCACGATGTTACAGTAGTGACTGAATAGCAGACAGTATCCAATCAGATAATAGAGTATACACTCTTAGAGAATTTTTTTTTGCTATCTAGAACCTAAAAGGGTTATTCGGCTGTCCTCATAGGAGAACTCTTTGAAGAATCCTTTTTGGTTCCAGGTAGAACACTTTTGGGTTCCATGTAGAACCCTGGCCAAGTCTACTTTGGATGAGGTACTGCTGCAGTATTTAGCAGGTTATTGAATACGTATAGAGACTGAATTTGGGGGAGGTATTGCTTTTGACATTACTATTGATCTATTGTCATTTTAAGTTTGCTATTACAACCAGATCATTGAGTCCATAGAGACTAACTTTTTTTTTTTTGGGGGGGGGGGGGGGGGTATTGCTTTACAGACTACTTATCTCTTTCGGTGTCCATGATGTTTAGTGAGTGACTGCATAGTAAAACAGTATACCGTCTTCACGGTTACTTTGGGAGAAGTATTGCTTTTCAGACTAACTTGATCTCTTTTGTTTATTATGATAGTCAGTGAGGGACTGCATAGGAAACAGTATGCACATTTGAAGAATACTGATCTCTATCAATAATTTATTTCAATCAATCATCATATTAGGTGCAGTTGTGAACAAAAGCCATGTCAGAGATAAATCTAATTGGCATATCATATGGTTCACTGCAGCTCAAGGATCAATGATCGCCCATGAAGTTAGTGACTGGCTGGAGGCTGCATAGCAAAGAGGATGAATATTTGAAGGTTTCTATTAAGCCTAAGGTTTCTAAACATTGGTAAGGTGTTGCTGTTTTTCATCAGGGAAGTGTAATTCAACCCAGAGTCTATGAACTATATACTGTGTTTTTCTCAGTATGTCGTTTGTCCTATCATGGTCGTATGGGTCATTTTAGGTGCTGGTGGTTGTGGGTCGTTATGTAAGGTCCTGAGAGGATGACCCCAGGAAGGCTGGAGGGGATATTGAACATGGCCAATGGATGAAGGACTTCCTCTCAGTTTGCTTATTTGACAAGTTCACACAGTGGTATACCTCCCCGTTTCACTTAGTTGGAAAATGCTCTCTCCCTACTGAACACGACTCAGACCTCATGCTCATTCTAAAGAGGATGTTGTGTCATTCAGCTGCTTGATTTAGGAGAGGTATTGCCTTTCAGACTACTCATCTCTTTTCATCCACGATGTTACAGTAGTGACTGAATAGCAGACAGTATCCAATCAGATAATAGAGTATACACTCTTAGATAATTTTTTTGTTGCTATCTAGAACCTAAAAGGGTTATTCGGCTGTCCTCATAGGAGAACTCTTTGAAGAATCATTTTTGGTTCCAGGTAGAACACTTTTGGGTTCCATGTAGAACCCTGGCCAAGTCTACTTTGGATGAGGTACTGCTGCAGGTCTGAGTCGCCTTAAGCTCTCCGTATGCTCTCCTTATGCTTTCTCAGGGAGAATCTTGTTTTGATATTTTGTCAGCTGTATCCCATTTGCTTGATACACTCTTCGAAAAAAAGGTGCTATCTAGAACCTAAAAGGGTTCTTTGGTTGTCCCCATAGGAGAACCCTTTGAAGAACCCTTTTTGGTTCCAGGAAGAACCCTTTTTGGGTTCCATGTAGAACCCTTTCCACAGAGGGTTCTACATGAAACCTAAAAGGGTTCTATCTGGAACCAAAAAGGGCTCTTCCTAGAACCAAAAAGGGTTCTCCTATGGGGACAGCCGAAGAACCCTTTTGGAACCCTTTTATCTAAGAGTGTAAATGTGATTGAGCAGTAACACAGTCAGAGACCATCGGGTTCTCTCCTGTGTGACATTTCATTGTGCACCATCACCATGTTGGTGCAAGGTGCAGCAGTATTGTGTACCCAAGCCAAGGCCATGCCCCTGTTTGTGCTAAGGACTGATTTAAGGAGGCTGCTCTGATACTCACACCCCTGTGCTGCTTAGCGCTGCAGCAGAGCGCACCAGCAGATCTCCAGAGCCAGGCCATGTACGGCCACAGCCATGCCCAAGTCGATGTGTTGGGCCTGGACTGATTAGTCAGCAGTCTGGCCCTCTGCCAGGTGCAGCTCCGGGCCTTCGGCTCCACCCTAGAGCCATGTGATCGGAGAAACAGCACAGACTGGAATATCCCTGGGCCCTTCCTGTGTCCCCACTCCCCATCATCAGTCATCATCAGTAAGCCCTCTCTAGCCCATAGCCTACCTTTATGGTGTCCTAATCTAAAGTCAAAACACAGAGCTATCTGTTAATATTGTGAAACATTTGCTTCTATTTCTGTCTATTGGCCTATGGAGCCCATTCTCAGAAACAGTTTTGTAGCTGAGTGTACTCCATTCACAGGAAAATACCCCTAATGCACCATTGTTATCCTTTGTGATATGTTAAGTGGACTGTTGCACATCAAGTAAAGGCTGAAGTTGGTATACAGTGCTATGTCTTTATGTTACAGGCCTAATATGTTAGAATGCTGTATACTCCTATATGTGTAATTATGTCACAGTGCTGTACGAACCTCTGTCTGTTTGTACCTGGTGTCTTTGTAGAAACGGTGGCCCAGTTGATTCCCGATGCTGGCTCTCCTCTCTACGAGCGTGTGCAGCAGTACCGTGAGTTGCTGGACGGCCTGCCCATGGACGCTTACACACACGGCTGTATCCTGCACCCAGAGCTCACCACCGACTCCATGATCCCAAAGTACGCCACCGCTGAAATACGTAGTAAGTCATGTCAGAATTCAGTGTTTTACAGTGGGAATACCCCATTCACAAGAAAATATTGACGTAGTATATGCAGGACATGAAAACACACATGTAAGTCGCATATACATTGTAAATAACATTCAATATAATATGATATTGCATATCATTATTCAATATACATTTGATTGATAGTATCTGCAATTTCCCATTAAAATGCACTACTATTCAGCGTTCTCACAACATTTTCGTATTAACATGTTGTCTCTCAACCAAATTATGCTGTCCAATTTGACCTTAATCCTTATCACAGCAAATGTCATGGAAGCAATGTCATTAATTCCTTGTAGGAGATATAAGGTAATTGAGTCTGCAGGCACTGCATTGCTCCTTCATGGACGTGCATGTATAAATCAAGAAAAAGGCTGGTCCGGCCAAAACCCTGCAGTGGAATAAATTAACCAGTGAGCCCCCTGCCCAGTGTGATGTCTGTTAAATCAAATTGATCCTTTATTTGTTGTTTATTTGTTTGTGGCAGTTCACCAATGATGTTTATATTTTAATCAGAGTCATTAATGTGTTTTTATGAACAACACTTTATTGATTTATCTCTCACATTTTATAACTGAAATTGGTTGTCGCTGGGAAATTAAGATTTAGCAGGAAAACAGAATAGTCTATGGGGTCTCTGCGCATTTGTAAATTGTGTATTTCTAACACATGATATTCTTGTCAGATAGGAACGTATACACTAGTTACAGTATCATTTGTTGTTATTGAACATCCACTCTCTGTTTTTGGTACTGCTTTAGACCACAGAAGGGTTTAAAAGGAGTATTTCCTCCAATAGTCACTGACTTGTCTCTTACCTCAGAGCAGTATTTCATCCAGGAGTCAGTGATGTCTCTGTTTCTCTGTCCTTAGGACACTTAGCCAACGCTGCGTCTGAGCTGATGAAGCTGGACCACGAGGAACCCACGCTGACAGAGCCATACCTCTCCAAGCAGAAGAAACTCATGGTGAGACTGGTAGCATGGCACCACACAGAACGAGAAGCCTAAAAAGAGAGAAACAGTGATTGATATAATGCATTACCAACAATTGACCTTTCCAGTCGCCCTATATACCATTTGTGTGTGTGTGTGCGTGCGTTTCTGTGTGTTAAGAGGCATATTTCATTAATGGCCTCACAAGATTGTTAAGATGAGCTGATAATGGTCCTACTCATATTCACACCAACATCAAGTATTTGAGTTATTGAGTAAGTTATTACTAAGCAGAGCAATTCCAACGTGGTTGTTGTTTACGTTTTAGTGTGATGTAGGATAGATATAGCAAAATTACCCTAATTGCTTGTGTCAGGGTCGGTGCTAGTTCTGTATCGACCCATCATGCATCAACATGGATAGCTGCCACTGCCAGGGCCAATCTACTGGCTAAAACAAATGGTTTCCTTTTAACTTGGCTCGGCCTATCTTTAGTCAGTACCTGTATTTTCTACTATTATTAGTTCCACTGTTACAAATAGGTTTATTTTACTCTGTTATTGTATTTCAAGGGGACATAGAGATGCTTGCTTACGCCAGACAATGACATGCTACAGCTCTCTGTGGTGCTGATCTGAGACCAGTCTCTTGGCAGATGTTGTCCACCATGTTGTTTTCTGTGGTCTTCCAAGAGGTCTTCACCTATGAGCGGATAGCGACAATACGAGACTGCATAGACAGACATATATGCACATATGTGACATGGGCTTGTTCTTGTGCTTACAGGCAAAAATATTGGACCACGACAATGTGACCTACCTAAAGAAGATCCTTGGCGAGTTGGCCATGGTACTAGATCAGGTGGAGGCCGAGTTGGAAAAGAGGAAAATCGAGTATGAAGGTGAGTGCAGATTATTATTGATGTTTATATCGTACAGTTCATTAACATTATCAAACATGGTGGCCTTGTCCGAATACCCATTCTACCGCACTACATACCTAAACGGCATACTCATTTAGACCATTTGATCTAGTAGAATTCATTCCTCTTTTCCGACTCACGTGTTTGACAACAGCTGATAATCAGATAAATTGACGCGCTATACCAAAATGAATGAATGGTGGGAGTCAACGCAATCGCGCATTAGATGACGCATTCGGGGTGTACTATAAAACGTTATTTTTTCCTATACTATTTAGTACTCTATTATGGGTATTTGGACATGACCACTCTGTTTCATCTTCCTAGCCTGGTCCCAGATCTGTTTGTCCTATCTTATATGACCATAGGAGTTGCAGTTGGCAAGATAGCACAAACAGATCTGGGACCAGGCTACTTTGTACCACACCGCTACAGTAGCATGTTTTATTTTGGCAGGTCAAAAGTGTGAGTTGTGGCTATGTGGACCTGAATTTACACTAGCTGATGTCTGCCTGGGAGCCTTGTTGCACAGGCTTAAGTTCTTGGGACTCTCAAAGAAATACTGGGAGGACGGCAGCCGACCCAACCTCCAGTCCTTTTTCGAGCGGGTGCAAAAACGCTACGCTTTCCGCAAGGTTCTGGGCGACATCCACACAACCCTCCTGTCAGCAGTTCTTCCCAATGCATTTCGAATGGTAAAAAAGAAGCCGCCATCTTTCTTCGGGGCCTCTTTCCTCATGGGCTCTCTGGGAGGGATGGGGTACTTTGCCTATTGGTTTTTAAAAAAGAAATACGTGTAGTGAACGCCCCCCTCCTTGTCTTAAATGTCTGTGTATTTGTGTGATGTTTCAATTTTTCTGTAATGTTTTACGACAGCAGGAAAATATGAATCTATATAGGGAACACTATTACAAAGAATATAAGAACATTCCATACACAAAGGAATTCTTAACAGCACATTTTTCTGGTATTCCAATGCCTTCATCTATCAACCTACAGTATTACTTTCTAATTAGCTCATTTTGGAGGCATGCATTATCCAGTTATATTAATTAAGGGAACAAACTTATTTGTGTTTTTAATTATCATTATGGTCATATTGCCTACACACCAGACAATGTTTTGACATTGCATCGCCATACCCAAAGTGGGGCTGATCCATACCCTGCATGTCACTATAGTTTTATTAAGTTGTTTTGGCATTCACCTATTGCCCTTCACGCCTCTGTTGGCCATTGGTTTATTTTATGAAATCCTTGTGATACTTCCTGTGCTGCCAGATGAGAAGATAGGATAGCGAGACGTCCAGTCGGTCCCAATTCATTCCCTTTCCTTTTTCCCTTGACCAGAACTCTTGTTTGCGGATCTGTGAGGTCCTCCACTGTTTCTACCAATCCAGACCCTTCAGATATGCAAACATCGAAGGGATCTGGCCAAAGGAAAGGGGTAAGGAGTGAATTGGGACTGTATACAGACACTCCCTTTAAAGCACTATGAAAGCATATGCACTCCATCAATTCATCAAAATGTGATTGTCATTTCACACACCTCAGCACCACTGTCTTGAGCTGATCATAAAGTGATCTCTGACTTTCAAGTCAGAAAGGATGGGTATGACAGAGAAATACTAAAAGGGTCAATTGAGCCCTCCGCAATATTGAGCGAGGAATCAGTCAGTGGCTTTTGACAGTGTCCCTATAGAGTGACTATGAAATTATACATTGTTCAGTTAAAAAGTCACATAAATAGCTGACATGGTTGTTGGCTTGATTCCAGGAACATTGAGCTCCACCAGTTTTAGTTCAATAATCCAAGCTTTTTGGGGGGGTTTGTTCCAAGACTAGTATGACTAGCCATTCAAACTAAATCCTTACAATCTAAACCTCTTAGAAAACTGTGACTAGGGTTGCAGAATTCCGGGAACTTTCAACACATTCCCTGGTTTTTCCAGAAAATTCCAGTTGGAGGATTCCCGGAATTAGGAGAGAATAAACAGGAAATCCGGAATCCTCCAACTAGGATTTCTGGAAAACCAGGGAATTTATTGAAAGTTCCTGGAATTTTGCAAACCTAACTGTGACCCAAATTCTCTGGAGTCTTACTGACCTATACAATGTTCCCCTCTGTTCAGGAGTGCTAGCATGTACAAAGCTGACCGTGGAACGTTAATAGGGTTTACATTGTATAACTACAATGATTTATTGCCATTTAAATAAGGTCTGGGTAAAAACATGAATCAACATACAGTAACTTGACGCTCAATGCATAACTACAAGACAACATACAAGACAGGAAGTTCTGGTTTCCCACTGAAATAGAAGCTCTTTCTCAATAGTATTTCCTCATGTCCTCCTCCCATCCTTTTCAAAATGGCAGAGGGAAGCGAGGTGACAGGAGAGCATTAAAGGAGAAGATAAGAGGAACCTTGGATCTTCAGCTCCATCTCATTGTGAAGTCATGGGCAGCACAGACTTTGACAAAGAACATTTTTCTTCAGTGTGGTTTCAGGAAAAGGAAAGATTTTTGAGTGAACAGAGTAACCGTGCGTATGGTTGTTAACAGACTGCATAGCTGATTACTGCTGGGATGGGGCTGTGGAGGATTCTTAACCAAAAAAGACAATGATCAATGTTTCATTAACAGCGTGTCAGCTGTGTGGGACATCTATATTTGAGTCCTAAATGGCACCCTATTCCCTATGTAGCGCACTACTTTTGATGAGGGACCATAGGGCTTTGGTCTAAAGTAGTGCACAGTGTAGGGAATAAGGTGTCATTTTGGATTCACAAAAAGGTTTCAGTTTGAATACTTGTCAAGACACACCTGGGACCGGTTTCTGGACACATTAAACCTAGTCCTGGACTAAGAAGCATGCTCCATGGAGAATCTCCATTGACATTACTTTTTAGTCCAGGACTAGGATTAATCTTTGTCTGGGAAACCGGTCCTACAAGTTTGTCTGAAAACAGGAAGTTGAGAAGTCACAGTTAATCTCATCACCTTGTGTTGGTGAGAAGAAAATATTCACAACAGAAGAACTGTAAAAACCAACCGTTTGGAGTTGGCTTCATGTTGAGCTTTCAAATCAAATCAAATCAAGATCTATGTAATGGAAAGAACATTTGACTCCAGTAGTCGCCTGTGTAAGAACAATAACATAAAATGGCACAGGTTTGAACATCTTAAGTTTGAGCTTTTTCTTTAGTTGGAAGTAAGCAAGTTAACACATTTTACATTTAGCATAGTACTCAACTAATACACTGGCTTTCATTATTAGCCATACAGTAATTCAACTCAAGTGTGTCTACAATCCACTTTATTTTGTGTGTTTTTTTCCTGGGACTTTCACTGATACATAAACTGTAACACTGTCTGGGTGTAATGTCAGAGACCAATTGAGAAATCACATTTCCATAACCAGCCTATCATTGTAAGTGTTTGTCTAGGTTTCATTATAACAAGCACCATTGTTACCAATAATTCACTGCCTCTTAAAACTGAGTCCCTGCAAATTAGGTATTTATTCCATATGGCTCACAGAAATCTCAAGACAAGGAATTCAACAAGTTGAGTAATCCTAGTAGTTATTTGTGGCCATTATATTTCACAATAGTATTTTTTATTTTTATATTTATAAATATGCATTTATTTAGTGCTTTTTATGATGTTTGTTCATAAGCCTTAATTCATTCAGTTGCCATCAATGAAAAATAAATTATGAAAATGAAAAATGTAACTTGCAGTTTACAGAATTATTTCAACATGATTGAATGTAATGCATTTTCTCTATTTTATACTATATGGATTTTCTCAATGCCAAACAAAACAGAAAAACATCTCCTGGTTATTAAGTTTTATAGTGCAGAGTCAGGCAACCTACTAAAAATACTATTTATTTTACTTGCACATCATGCTCAATATTCCCTAGGTAGAGCCAAGAATAAACACACCTACAGCTTGTAGTAGCCGTAATATGATTTGAATCCTTTGGTTCCGGAAATAATTGCATGTTGTCCTTGATGATTTGTAAACAAATGAAAATAAACGATTAGGATATAATTTTGGCTGACTGTATGTAAACCTCAATATTGATTGAGAGCCGCTGGACATTCAAGACATTTGGCATTTGCATTTTAGTCATTTAGCAGACGCTCTTATCCAGAGCGACTTACAGTTAGTGCATTCATCTTAAGATAGCTAGGTGGGACAACCACATAAGAACTGATCTAATTTTTATTTGGAGGGTTGTGTTACAATAAAATTAGTTGGCAAAGCACAAAATAATTCAACATACCTTACACTATTTCATTGTAAACATTCTCAAGTGTTCCCCACTACATTTGCCACTAAAATGGATTACTTTATATATTTCTCTCCACTGCTCAAAAAAATAAAGGGAACACTAAAATAACACATCCTAGATCTGAATGAATGAAATAATCGTATTAAATACTTTTTTCTTTACATAGTTGAATGTGCTGACAACAAAATCACACAAATATTATCAATGGAAATCAAATGTATCAACCCATGGAGGTCTGGATTTGGAGTCACCCTCAAAATTAAAGTGGAAAACCACACTACAGGCTGATCCAACTTTGATGTAATGTCCTTAAAACAAGTCAAAATGAGGCTCAGTAGTGTGTGTGTGTGGCCTCCACGTGCCTGTATGACCTCCCTACAACGCCTGGGCATGCTCCTGATGAGGTGGCGGATGGTCTCCTGAGGGATCTCCTCCCAGACCTGGACTAAAGCATCCGCCAACTCCTGGACAGTCTGTGGTGCGACGTGGCGTTGGTGGATGGAGCGAGACATGATGTCCCAGATGTGCTCAATTGGATTCAGGTCTGGGGAACGGGCGGGCCAGTCCATAGCATCAATGCCTTCCTCTTGCAGGAACTGCTGACACACTCCAGCCACATGAGGTCTAGCATTGTCTTGCATTAGGAGGAACCCAGGGCCAACCGCACCAGCATATGGTCTCACAAGGGGTCTGAGGATCTCATCTCGGTACCTAATGGCAGTCAGGCTACCTCTGGCGAGCACATGGAGGGCTGTGCGGTCCCCCAAAGAAATGCCACCCCACACCATGACTGACCCACCGCCAAACCGGTCATGCTGGAGGATGTTGCAGGCAGCAGAACGTTCTCCACGGTGTCTCCAGACTCTGTCACGTGCTCAGTGTGAACCTGCTTTCATCTGTGAAGAGCACAGGGCGCCAGTGGCGAATTTGCCAATCTTGGTGTTCTCTGGCAAATGCCAAATGTCCTGCACGGTGTTGGGCTGTAAGCACAACCCCCACCTGTGGACGTCAGGCCCTCATACCACCCTCATGGAGTCTGTTTCTGACCGTTTGAGTAGACACATGCACATTTGTGGCCTGCTGGAGGTCATTTTGCAGGGCTCTGGCAGTGCTCCTCCTGCTCCTCCTTGCACAAAGGCGGAGGTAGCAGTCCTGCTGCTGGGTTGTTGGCCTCCTCCACGTCTCCTGATGTACTGGCCTGTCTCCTGGTAGCGCCTCCATGCTCTGGACACTACGCTGACAGAGACAGCAAACCTTCTTGCCACAGCTCGCATTGATGTGCCATCCTGGATGAGCTGCACTACCTGAGCCACTTGTGTGGGTTGTAGACTCCGTCTCATGCTACCACTAGAGTGAAAGCACCGCCAGCATTCAAAAGTGACCAAAACATCAGCCAGGAAGCATAGGAACTGAGAAGTGGTCTGTGGTCACCACCTGCAAAACCAGTCCTTTATTGGGGGTATCTTGCTAATTGCCTATAATTTCCACCTGTTATCT